ATGAGTCTACAAACTATTTGAACTAAACGGCCTTTAGAGCAATGAGGAAAAGTTATTCTTTATTCATTGACACCCGGTATACTTTTGCATCACGCTTAACAGCATCATGTTCTCAACAGTTTATCGCTCGTATTAAACCCCATCAAAGCATGTGAGCCAAAATATATCCCGGTGCAGTAATTCCAACATCGCCTAAAGCTAACGTTAGCTACGCCAAATGAGCGCACCGAATCCGTCCACTTACCACATCCATATGTATAGCAAAACTTCTTGCCCATGTTTCGATCCACTTCTCTTTCTACAGATTATATTCAGGTCATGAATTGCAGTTAAGTTATAATATCTCTATTTAAAAATGTATCTCGGAGAACAAAGATTGATTTGGTAGGTACTAGCCAATCACTGAATTTTGGGTGCATGAAAAGTCCAGCGTAACTATCGACGAGGAAATATCTAGCGAAATATGATAGTTGGCCGGATTCAAACTGTTGATATTTTTGAGTTCCCTGGGAAATGCAATGACAACCTACTTGGTGCCATTTTTTGGGTCGTTCCTCCGTGATCTACAGGGTTTGCCCGGAAAGTAATAGGACTCATTTTCTTCCGCCATGACTGTACTTCGGAGTGTGCGCGCACCGACTGGATTCAGTAGAGGGCGTTCCTAGCTAACGAATGAGCGGCTGGTCAGTTGTCTCCGAGCACTTGGAGAGTCAGGACAGGCATTTTCGCGCGACGTGTTTCTGTGAGTGGTGCAAGCCGAAAATGGAGCGTTCGTTAGAGCAGAGGTACGCGATTAAATTCTGTGTAAAGCAGGCTCACCCAGGTGTTGCTTTAGCAAGAAGTGGTGTGTTTCGGTGGCACCAGGCCTTTTTGGAGGACCGGGAAGAGGTCGCCGATGAAGACCGTGCAGGAAGACCTTAGACTTCGACAAACACCGATAATATGACTCGTGTGCACAAAGTTTTGAACTCAGACCGTCGACTAAGTATTCGTTTAATTTACCAAAATCTGTGGTTCATGACATTGTGATACAGCATTTGAACATGCGCAAGGTGTGCGCGAAGATGGTCCCAAAAGTGCTCACTGACGACCAGAAATTGCGGCGAGTGGAAGTGTGACAAGAAAATTTGAACATGTGTGAAAGTGACCCCCAATTTTTGAATAACGTAATCACAGGTGACGAGTCGTTGATTTTTGAGTATGATACCGAGACAAAGAGGCAATCTTCCGAGTGGCACACGACGGCGTCTCCTCGCTCAAAAAAGGGAAAAATGAGAAAATAAAAAGTGAAAACCATGCTCGTTGTCTTTTTTGATATCAAAGGCATCGTCCACCATGAATTTGTTCCTCCTGGACAAACCATCAACGACAAGTTTTACGTGGAAGTGCTCAAGAGACTCTAACGAAGGGTCAGTCGGTTCCGACATCACATCGCAGCCGACTGGAAGTTGCACCACGACAACGCCCCGGCTCACACCGCCTTTCTCGTGAACCGGACCAAGGCCGGCATCGCAACGCTTCCGCAGCCGCCCTACAGCCCAGATGTGCCCCCCCCCCTCGGACTTATTTTTGTTTCCTCGCATGAAAAGGCCGATGAAAGGCAAGCATTTTGAGACGACAGAGGGGATCCAAGCAGCTTGAACCGCGGCTCTCAAGGCTATTCCGGAGAATGCCTTCCGTGACGCCTTCAATGCTTGGAAATCGCGCTGGCAGCGCTGCATGGACGCAGAAGGAGCCTATTTTGAAAGTTTTTAAAGAATTGTAACGATTGGCTCAATACATTTTTTTAAATCGACTCAGTCCTATTACTTTTTACCTTTTTAATGCATTCCTTACAGCTACTGATTCATGTTGTTATGCTAATGTTTTGTAATGTCTGGTTGTAGTATGGTTAAGTGGTAGAGTAGCCATGGCTAAACTTCGCCATACTATGATCATCTTTTGAATAAAGTCATTATTATTATTATTATTATTACTTTACGGACAAACCCTGTACGTATGGCCTGGACTGTTCAAGGTCATCCAGAAATCTCATTTCTCAGTCAGAATAATTTCCGCAACATAGTCAATTTCACTTCAGACCTAACACTGGATCAAGTTGTTACTTGAACAGCCTTATTTAACTTTAAGCGTCACCTTCGCAGGAGTACCAAGAAAAACCGAAAAAGCCACATGGGATCTGTTGAGGCCTTGCAAGCCGAACGAGGAAATGCGAAATAAACTTTCAATTTATTAGGGTATGAAGCACCTCATTACAAAAAGAGAAACTAGCAGGTCGGCAGATAGCGTCGAATGGCCGAAGCGAGATTTTCCAAACGAAAACAAGTCAGTAATCTTGTTATCGAGTCGGAAGGAAATAATGCAGATTCTGCAGTTTAATAAAATCATGTTTAAATTCCTCTGCGATCCTGTATACACTCATTGCTAAATACATAATTACTTGGATTCATTTTACCGACAAAATGTGGAGGGTAGGATGCCAGGGTCTGATTAAGTTTATACAGTGAAGATTTCAGGCCCGCATACTTTTGTTTCAGGTTATACCAAAAAAAAAAGTTCTATGCCAGTGTTAATTTACTTCCCACGTCTACTGGTGGAGGAGTATTTTAATCGCGAAAATGTTCGAATCTGAGTTAGTATTTTTTGGATGTTATATCACGAAAAAACATGTCACTCATTTCCATCGTACTGTGTCTGTCTTGAGAAGTACCCCTCGGATTTCAAAGAAATTTTACCACAATGTTGCTATCATGCCAAGGACATAAGAGTTTTTGAAAATCTGTCCAGGAACGGCAGATAAAAAGTCCAATACAGAAAAAAATAAAAATTGCCCAAACTTTCTTTTTTTGACGTTTCAGAAGATCCTTATTATTTCTGTAAATATTTTTGTAGCTCTCAGGAATTGGGGATTACGGGTAGCAAATGGTGGGGGAGGGTATATCTCAATTTTTGGACGTAGGTATACTTATACGCCTCCTGCGCACATGTTGGGCATATTTTGCTAATTATACTCGTACATATCCCCCAGTGCATTTACTCTTAAAATCTAGAAATGCACACACGATAAGCGTCGTCATCGGTAGTCGTACGACAGAGCTGGCAATCGCTTTCACACTGCTGGATTGGCCATGTGCGTCTGCATTTCTGCTTTTACCATATTTGATCTAAGGGATGTATGTTATCCCTTGTGACGTGTTTTTGTGTTACATTCAATATGTAAGAATGGTCTGGCTTTCATATAGTTTATAATATAAATTATAATAACAGATGTAAGGCTAATTTAAAATCCGATTGTCTTAATACGGTTCTTTATGTTCCACTTTTAAGAAAATTTCAAACTTGGTGAAACGTACATTAACTTTTTAATATGTACACACATTCATTTAGATTGTTTTCGTTTGGTTTATGGTCTCTATATCTTTGTCTTAACCAATTTTTCTTACTTCATTGCCTCGCGTACGATTTGAATTTCATGAACGCATTTTCCATATTTTTTGACCCTAAGGAAGGCCTAAAATAAACGTTGGCAATTTGAAAAAGACATTTTTGGACTTTTGTTTTCTATACCAAGAATCTAAAGAAATCAAACGTACATAGTTTGTACTTCAACATGATTATATAGGTCATACTTGTTAGCTTGTTAGATGAAGATAACTAAGCAAATGAGAAATTGTATAGAAATTGGCTGTCGAAGTAGTGAAGTATTTTCCATAGGTGAGTCGGGTGGGAAGCAGAGCTCACTCTGCTTTGTATTCGGCTAATCAGCCTGTTGGCCTATTTAGTCAGCAAACAAATATTGAAATACTACCTTTTCTAGTAAGGAATAGTTCAATAGTGCTTTTGCCAGTGCTCTAAAAGTAGGGAGGAGCACATAAAGAATTTCAGAGAAATACGGAAGCGTATTGTGGAATGGAATGAAACTTGCTCAATTAGTACTTATTTTAAGTACTTATGTTAGTTTGCTCATGGTTTCAACGTTATTTTGGTGTGACACTAAGACATTTCGTAGAACTTGTGTTGCTTCTGCCACTGATTTATAATATCCCTCATTATGGACTAAGATAGTACAAAATTTAGATAAGCAATATTCTATGGGATGAATAAAGTACCACACATAAATCCTCTGGGAAGAAGAGGTATGCAGTGTTTCGATCTGTGATATCAGTAGCTTGTACCTTTTCTTCATCGAGTATCAAGATCTGATATCAAAATCAAATGGCGAAACCATGGCCGGAGTTTGGAGAAACTATATTGAAAAACTGTCTGACAGCTAACAAGAAAAAAAAATAAATTCATTCGAAGAATTTATGTGACTTACACTAGTCACTGGTAACGCTGTCTAAAATTTAAACCAAAAAAATGCATTCACCAATATTTTTTTACTGTTTTCTGTATATTATATAATAAAAGCTGATCCAAGGTTAACTAGCCAATGCACGACTTCTAATATTTTTTCATAGTGAAGCAGCTTTGAGGCAGAGCCGGAATACCGAGACACCGTGGTTGGTATGGAGAGGTTAAAGGCAGATTCTTTCTCAAATTTTTGACGAGCCTAAAGTTAGCAGATACTGTAGCGGATTTTGATGTTCGTACAACCTTATAGGATCAGAGAAATAAATGTACCAGCAATTTCTTGATATACAGGGTGTCCAGGTATAAATTGATCTCCGCCTGTTTTTTATAGCCATTTAGGAAAAGAAGCTTTTTTATAAAAGTTATAGTAGTTATCTTAAAATGCCTTTTATATGTTTCAAAAGTGCTACCAAATTAAGATGTTTTTTCAAAATTGGACACATTGTATATTTCCAGTGAAAATGATAATCACTTTTTTCTGATATCAAGCATATATAGGTGGCTTACTATATTTATTCGTCTTAATTTGGTCAGAACTTAACTTTGTGTGTCACTTATTTCTGTGTCTCCCAACAAATACAGACTATGTAAAAAGAGCTAGTTAAGGACTTCGTGTCTTAATTCTTATGGACTCTAGTGAGCAATAAAATGCACTTAGCATAAGTCAGTTGTTGACAGTTCTGTCATTAAGTTCGTATATTTAGTGTGAAAAAAGCGCGAGTGTTTGCAAATAATTGTAATGTTAGACCATTTCAAGGCATGGCACTTCTAACATACTTTGCAAAGAGAGGCACAAGCGTGATGAAGACAGATTTTTCCACCGGTAAGCTTGACTTCTTCTAATCTATTTGGATTCGTTGATGTATCTCAATTCAAACCAGTTTATATGTAGCCGTCTATGCAATCTGGAAAGGACCCGATACAAAATTGAGGTTTTCGACTAAAGTGTACAATAAACCATATATATCTGGAATCAGAAAAACCAATTATCATTGCTATTAAAAATGTATAGGGATATTCTATTGAAAAACAACATTCTTCGATAGAACTTTTCTGATACCCTTTATATATAACAAAGACATTACATGGAAAACCTCATATTCGATCCTAAACTATATACAATGTACATAACTTTTGTTTCTAAAAGGTTATACAACAAAGTTGCACTCAACGTCCTGTGCACACATCAGTAGAGCTAGACTCAGAAGTAGAAGAAGCCTGATGGGGCAGTTTGACGGATCTAGTGTGCCGCGGCATTATGAAGGAGAGCTTAGGGACTTATACAACACTTCTCTTAAATAAAGTTGGTTGAGTGAATCTCTGTCGTGAATTATATTCTGTATTTATGTACCTTATTCCCGCGCATGGTACTCTTGTACGCCTATGGGCGATCGCGTAATGGAACGACACCTCGTTACTTCACCGTCGTGCACTGACACCACAAAGACGTGTTTTTCAATTGTCTTCAGAATCTCACACTTAGTGGAAAGCCTAATCTGATCGTAAGTACGCAGACGCTAAATAAATCTACTATAAGATCGAGCTACTTGAAGGTTGAAAGCTATATAGAGGTGCGAAACTTTTTTGTACTGCCAAAGTTGAATAGTCGGTGATTGTCGGCTCTGGTTCAACCCAGAGGTTCGTTTTGCCAGAGATCGCGATCTAGAAAGAATGTGAACGATATACATAGGCAACGTTTTAATTGTATAAGAGTCATGGAATGTAAACGCCATATATCACTATACAAAAGTTTCATTTGTTTTTTCATTAGCTTGTGTTTTTGGTTACAAACCCGTGATCCTGCCCTTATGGTGAGGAACAAATGAAACTGAAAGCTCGCTGTTCTAGAGAAAACGAGAAACGCATTTTCCTAAGCACAACGACTCAAAAATATTCTATAACCCGAACTGAGGACTTTTGTCATCCTTTCCAAACGTGTATAAAAATTCAATGTAATATTTAACTTATAACAATAATTGTAGTCCAAAAGTCCTCGGCTATAAAACGCATTAACCGCGCCATTTTCAACATTTGATTGGAGTAAGCAACTACAGCTCAGCCATCATGACCAGATTTGCGTAAGTGATGTAAAACAAAGGCCAATCTTGGGCATGTCTGCAATAAAGGAACGGGAGAGATAATAGAAGGATTGGTAACTCGAACGACATATATTTCTGCTTACTGGCTTTATCAGGCCCAAATGGATGTGCATCGAAAACACTATAGTGAAAATGTATGTCCACCACATCTTGATACTACTTGACTTTCTCAGTATGTGATGTGGATGGGGGTATGTACCTCTTGGCAATATGTATTGTCCGCCAGATGTATAGGGGAGAGTCCTCCAATACCGTCACCTTAAGGTTTATCAACAAAAAAATCAAAATACTTATGGTTACATGTTTAAAACCTTCTGATATGTGTAAAGGAACTATTATGCTATTAATATAAATAATAAACAACTAGTAGGTTCAGAAGTTATCAACTTTATTATTGCAATTCGAACACTAGAAAAAATCAGACTCAAAAAAATTGGCCTCCAGTACCGGCCAGTGATTAAGTAACCATTTATACAATACAATAATCGCAAATATACTGATCAGATAGCTCTGATACGTTTGCACAAGCCTCGTGGACCCAAATCTTGCAGTTTCCACATTGTATCCAATCCTCTTCGTGAGATTCGGCACACAAAGGACAAACTGTTTCTTCAATCGATCTACCAGGAGGAGGTAGGTTTTCGTTTTTATTTGTTTTTGTTTTCTTACTGACATCTCTTCCTGACAGCAAGCTTTCTCCCTTTTTAATAACATCTTTTTCTGAAACATTAACTTTCTTTTTAAGTTGTTCGACATTCCTTTTATCTGCCCTTTTCTCTTCCAGCATCCTTTTGTATGGAGAACTTGTTATAATTTCACTTCTTTCAGCTTTACGACGTCTTACAGTAGTTCTTCTTTTGGAAGCATCAGGAACCGGTGACAGTTCTGTAAGTGCAGCTTTAAAATTTTCTCTGGATTTATCAGCAATAACTTCTGTTTGAGTTTCTACTTGTTGAATAGATAAAATTTCAGATTCGGCGTGAGTAGGAGTAGTTTGAGTCTCGGATTGTATAGAAGTTGTAATGTCAGCTAATAAATTAGAAGTTGAAGTTTGAGATCCAAGTTGTCGAGAGGAAATGGATGTAAGTTCTCGCTGTGTAGAAATAGAATTTGACAGATTTGAACAAGCAGATGTTGAAGGTGTCGGTTCGGTTAGTTGAGAATGTGAGAGCGATGATTCTGTTGCTGATTGACTTTCTGTAACATTCGTCATGTCGGAACCAATGAAATCTAAATCACTGAAGATATTTCTATCAAAGGGGTGTATGCCAGTGCAGTGGAAGCCATTAACCGCGATATCCATTCGCGAAACTCGATTAAAAGCAATAGCAACAAACCCTGCAATCTCGTATTCACTGATTCTAATAGCAGGGTTTGCCCTCATCCACAAGTCACATGCATCATTGTACGCAGATTTAAATGGCTTCATGAACGTACGATCCAGTGGCTGTAACTTGTGGGTCGTGTGAGGTGGGGTGCTTAACATATGAATATTATTTTTTCTGGCAAACTCAATGACCTCTAAGTCTTTATGACTAGCATGCCCATCTAGAATCAAGAGTACGGGATTCTGGGCTGTTGGATTAGAATATTGCACAAAGTGTTGCATCCATTTCAAAAATAATTCGGCATTCATCCAGCCGTTTGGTTGAGCTTCACCTACACTCTCATTTGGAGCATTAATCATTAGTCTTTCATTCATTCTGTTTCGTGGAAATATGAAATAAGGTGGTACGAACTGACCTCCAGCGCTCATTGCAAAAAGCACTGTAACGTTCTTTCCACGTTCTGCTGACGTAAGCTTTCCGACTTGCCTTTGGTTTTTAGTAGCTAACACTTTAGCATGTTTTTGAACAATGCTAACTCCAGTCTCATCACAGTTCCATATTTTATAAGGTGTGAATTTAAATCTCTCCATCAAAGTCTCAAGACCATCAAAGAATCGCATAACCTGAGGCCTGTTAAATCCTACTGCTCTCATTAAACTCGTTGATTCAGCAGTTCGCAATGATAAGTCACTATGTCTTTTCATAAACGAATAATAGTAATTTTTCCCTGCAGATTGTTTCTCTTTATTGAACTGGTGAGGTAACTTTAATTTCTCGGCCAGTTGGAAAGCGAGACGTAAAAATTCTTGTCTGTTTAAAGGCATTAGCCTGTTGGCCAAGTCTTTAAAATGCGATGCCAATATTTCTTCATGTTCTGGTGCAAAAGTATTGTGAAAACGACCCATAACTGGCTCAATAGACATCTCTTTATTACTTTTAATAGCTCTAACTCTATCATTCAAAGTAGATCGTGGTACCTGATAGCGTTCTGCGGCTTGACGAGCACTTATTTTATGATTCAGTACCTTTTCCACGGCCTTATGCATGTTGGCAGGATCCCAGGTGCCCTTCTTTTGCGTTGTCTGACCATCATTCCCGTGACTTGACATTTTTGTATATCTGAAAGTAAAACAAAACAATTAAAAACGATCTAATAGAATGGCCGGTACTGTAGGACAACATTATGTCCGGTACTGGAGGAAACGAAAAAAAAACTAAATTCGATTTCTAACGAACATGAATGTACAAAGGTTAATTATAAAGACACTTTTCTATAGATATATAAGTACACTCTACTTACCAGTAGTTATTTGTTTTAAACTGGATCTCTGAACTTCGAAAATTGTGAATAGAATTTTAATTACGTAGTTAGCGTCCATCACGCGCAACTAAAATCTTTGAACTGGAAGTAAACTTGTCGTTGCAAGTTAACGCCGCGCGGGGAATATCATCCCGTGAGTGTATTGCACAAATCACGATAAAAATTTCAGCGCCATCTGTTGTCAGGTTGTAGAATTTGCAACTGGCTGGTACTGGATGCCGGCCGGTACTGTAGGACTCTCCCCTACTAAGTGACATATAAATCCGAACACCCAGTTTAAATGGTTATATTTTAATAAAAGTTTGTATAAGTACTTAATGAAGCAAAATAAGTAAATGATAAAAATTTCAAAATAATTGCACTGCTTTAAAGCCCTTTGACCTTTAATAATGTGTGGATGCACCCTGATGTGCTACGCATTCTCCAACGCGCCTAGGCATGCTTCTGTTCAGGTGGTCAATGTCCTCCTGTGGTATCTCACTCCAGGCAACCACCAACTCCTCTCGAAGTGCTTCTAGAGTCTGAGGAGGACGTTGCAAATTGAGCAATCTCCTACCCATCATATCCCACACGTGCTCAATTGGGGATAAGTCGGGAGATCTTGGTGGCCATGGTAACAATGTGACATCATTATGTTGAAAGAAGTCTATTGTGACTCTTGCAACATGTGGTCGGGCATTATCTTGTTGGAAAGTTGGATCTGCCAGGGTGTCAAGATAGGGTAAAAGATGGGGTTCTAGAACTTCGTGGATATAACGCTGCGCGTTCATGTTACCTCTGATGAAGATTAAAGGTCACCTGGAACCATAAGCTATAGCACCCCAAACCATAACTCCAACAAAAAACTAAGGATTCCTCCTTTCACCACGTCGCCTTCTAACCCTGGCACGACCATCGTGCATGCCTAAACAAAATCGAGACTCGTCGCTAAAGACAATACTGTTCCATTCCTGATCCAGAGTGACCGTTGTCTGCACCACTCAAGGCGATTACGTCGGTGTTCTCGAGTTAAAGGGAGAGGACCCAGTGTGGCCGATATGAAAACAAGCCAAAACTTCTCATTCGTCGGTAAACACTTCGCATGCCAATAGGTCTTCCGTGTTCTGCAAACCAGTCATTTGCAATGGACCTGGTAGTGGAGAAACGGTCCCTTAAGGCCAATAATCTTAGGCGGCGATCTTCACGGTCTGTTGTTCTACGGCGGCGTCCAGTGCCCCTTGCTCTTTGCGTACGGCCTTCTCGAAGCCATGCCTGACAACACCTAACCACAGTGTCTACACTTCTTTGCACTCTAACTGCAATTGCCCGAAAAGAAAGTTCAGCTTCCCGAAGTCCCACTATACGGCCCCTATCAAACTCACTAAGTTGACGAAATCGTACAGGTTATGTTGCTGGCTAGTCTATTGCAACTACTAGACAATGCACACTGACCTGTCTACTATTGGCGATTATCAACTATATAGTATAGCCCGAAAAATGGAGATGACAATAATAATTATACTTTATTTGCTTAAAATAGCAATATATAGGTAGCAAATAAATGACAATACCTACAAACAGTACAA